ATTGATATATCCTCCTTTATATTTTTTAAAGCTTTTTTATTCTCTCACAAAAAGGTTTTTATAATCAAATTTAGTTATATTTTATCTCTTGCTTTTGGAGAATACTGCTTCAATAAGATCTAATGGAGGTCGATTAAGCAGACGAACTGCTGCAAGCACTTTTCAAAATCTTGTATATTTTATGCAGGAACTATGTGAATTCTATTCTTTAACTTGAAAGCCTTCTTCTATAAAAATCGTTTTTTTAACGAAAAGTTTGTCATAAAGTAGAGAGCTATGTTCATTCTCTAGCGTAAACGAAAAGTGAGAGGCCACATAAATTGTATTTGTTTCGAAAGTTCTCATAAAATATTTGAGACATTCTGATTATATGTTTATCTATTCTTAATTAAACAACTCACCTCACTCGATTTCAAAAAACGTTTTCAGAAATTGTACCAAAGAAGCTGTAAAACTAAAACTTAAAATAAAGTATCCAGAAACACTGGATAATCTTTCGATTGGATAACATTTCCTGTAATTACTATAATTATTTTTATCTAGGAATAATTTGTAACAAATACTTTTCATTTAATTATTAGTGAAAAAAAGAGATATAAAACATATTTTTTTAAATGTTCTTTACGTAGCAACCGAAATTCGGATGAGGAGAGCTAATTTGTGAATTTAATCCATATAAAGGTGTACAATGTTGTTTACACAACCAAATCGGATATTTAATTTTATATTACGATTAACCATATAATACACCAGTAGAGTTGAGATAACCAGGTGGAGCTGTTATTTTGAAATGTTTACACTGAAGAAAAACGGTGTTAATCTTAATGTCTCAAAATCAATTTAACATTTTTATTAAATAAACGATGAACTGAGTAACTTTAAAGTTGAAGAAATAACTAACTTTTCAAAATTAATTTTGTGTGTTTTTTTAATCATCCTGATACTCCTTCCACACTAGTGTTCTTTACTATTTTGAGCTAAACGTTGGGAATTTAAAATAATAATAATAATTGCTTTGTTCTGATTATTTTTCAATGCCTAGTTACTATTACAGTAGTTTCAGATATGCAGACAAATGATGTGTGATTATGTAGGGCTATTCTTTGGCTAAAGAAGTATTAGCGTCCTATAGAATAACTATATAGATTATTGTAAGGAGGCAGAGCTGTCATGAAAACTTTCTTTAATACTCTTGTTTCATATTTATGATAAAAGGATAGTTTTGAGGCTAGTTGTGAACATTGTTTTGTCTTTTCAATTTCTTGTCTTGGCAGGTGGTAATGAAATGTTATGCCTATCTAATGTTCTGCAGGTTTCAAACATTGAATAGATTTTCAGTAGCAGCCTCGTTGAACATAAATAACATCGATAAATGCTACTGGGTATACTTTATTCAAATATTATAACTGTATATTTTAGTGGTGCTATCATTGTTTTGAGTCAAAACATCATATTTTCACGAAGATCTTCAGATTAGCTAAAACATGCTAGTCTTAATAAGCTGTTGACAATAAATCTATCAGTAGTACTACAACTCACATTAGTTTAGTTGCAATAAAATAAATTACAAATTACACAATACAATGTAATTAAATTGCAGTTTCAAGTACTCGGTTCCAATCTGTTAATCTAATTATCAGGCCCATTTTGTAATAGTTCGTTTAAATTATTACACTTTTTAGTTCCAGTTGTAATTAATGAAGGATCTGTTTATCTCTGAAAGAATGTGACTGTGTACACTTTATTATATCATAAAAATTTCTGATCTCAATCTATATTTTTTTCATAAAAATTGTAACTTCACAGAGCGTTGTGACACTCTCGGAATATTTATAATTAATCCCAATTTCAAAAACTCACTTAACTAGCCAGGTTCTTTAAAACTGGCTTATTGGAACATCTTGTTGGTTATGCAAAGCATGGAAATGACCCACAACTTCTGTATGAGAAGGAGTAACGCAACAATATAGGTTAATATAGTTTAGACTTTAGTTGTTTTGCTGTATTAGACAAAAAACAAGATATTCTTTATTTAAAATGGATCTTTTAGAAAATTAAGTAATTTGAAAGAAATTGAGCAAAATATATCCATTCACAATATACCAACTTATATAACAATATTTTTTAACAATAATACAAAATCATTCCTCAAAAAGTTACAATTAATAGTTTATTATTAATTTAGTAATCTCTATAAGGTAAGGTAATAAAAAGTATTTATTAACCAAAGATTCAAAAACAATAAGACACTTTAAAGTCACATAGAGAATGAACAACAATGCTATCAGATTATGGTATCAATATTTGCTCCAAGGCTTTTGAAGCTTCTCTATGTATTGTCAAAGTATATTATTATTGATTTTATGTTAACAGAAAGGAGAAAAGTCATAAGTAAAAATACAAACAGCAAATAATCACAACTAAAGCTGAATAATGGAGGAAGACACGTGTACACCTGAAGTTTGTTTTAACTCCAGAGAATGATTTGATGAAAGATGTCACCTCGAAATGTTGTTTGGATAATAGCTTTTATTTCAAAGCAAAGCTTCAACCAATCTAAGAGCTTATAAAAATCGAGTTTCGATAACCGCAGTAGACAGAGCACAGATAGCCCATTGTGCAGGTTTGCGCTTAACAACAAAGCAACAGTTTCCATTAAATGAATAATATTATTGACGTTGTTGTGTATGGATAATTAGTCTTAAAGCTATATCATTTTTGTGAAGTAAATGAAATATAGGTTTCTTATTTGGATGGATAACTAAACGAGAACAACAAAAAATACATGGATCCCAAATTATGTACTGTGGTTACCAGGCTAAAACAATACAGGTTGGTCTTCTTTCTGTGATTTAGTGGATATTCTTTACAATAATATTGTTTTTATTGTTGAGCCACAACAAGAAGAATCGTTACGAATATTACAAGTTTGAGTGCAGTATTGCCCTCTCCTCTCCTGTGAATCTTTGGTAATGATATTTATAATTGTTTTTTTAATTATATTTTTGATTACATAGGCAATATTTGTATGTTACTAGAGGTGGTATCATTCTTTCTTATTTTACCTCAAGATTGTGCACATAATTTATGTTTACCGTGACGTACAGTATAGAATCCCGTATTTCTCGCCTCTCTCTATATTTCTGTGATGCCTTCGCCTTTGATTTCATTGTTTGATGTTATTTCAATAGTCGAGAGAGCATTACAAACTTTTATAGCCACAGTGGACATGTATGCATTAAATACCAGATATAGTGGTATACTTGAAAACATTATATCACTTACGTTCGACACATCGTTTATATGCAGTTTGTGTATTAAAAATGCGATCGCCACATCGATACCGTGGATGCGTTATAATTGTGACGGTCAAATCCCACTTTGGTTAAACAAGAGTAGCCCAAGAGTTGGCAGTCGGTGCTATCTGATCAAAATTTGGGACGGCTTTGCCCAAGTAGATCGTTGTGTAGGTTTGCACGTAATTCAGCTAATCAAACAAAGGCTGAGAGGGTACACTAAACGATAAGGTCATCAGCTTAATGAGAAATACTTAGCTTAGTTTTAACTGTTTATTTGAAGTAGTTTTATAGCTGTGTGTGTGTCTCTAATTAACATAACATTTATATATTTACTTCTTCTTAGATCGTTAAAATTGCCTAACTACCAAAACATACACGAGGTTATACAGACATAATTTTCTCCTTGTTTTCTTTAGTATTTTTCAAAATTAAGATATCACAATATTCGATGTTAATGGGCTAATTAAGCATTTAATTATAACTGAACTTGTAATAAAAAGCAATAAATATTATTTGTTTATTTAAGCATTTCCAGATGTGTTACGTGGAATAAAACTTTACAAAGTTGTGTTTTCTCATTTGCTTTATGTGTTTTACATTTTATACACATTACAAAAACTAATTTAGTGCTTATAATTTGCTGTTGCTAATACAGAATAGTTGGTATGAATGTTTGCAAAGTACCTTTCTCTGATCATTACTGTTGTTGCACGTTTTGTAAAAATATTACTGTTGACAATCCATAGACAAAATTATAGTTACTTCGTCAAGAATCAGGTCAATATTCATGTTTTAACACATAATTACTGCGTCGTATAAAAACAGTGAACAGGAGTATTTAGTCATTATGAGCACTCACAGTCCTTTGCGTCATTTTGAAAATTATGTAAATGTTTTGATACGTATTTAGTTTATGTTCATGAAAGCAGTTTGTTTACGTTTCCTTAGATAACTTAGATACACGCTACTTTTGAAAGTAGCAAAGTCTATTCTATTTTTGAGCAGTAAAGCAGACCTCTTTCTTACAAAAATTAAACAAATAAAATAAAATTTCCTAATGAGTGAATATATTACAAAACTTTAATGGCCTCAGCAAACTGAAGCAGCATACAAAACATTTCTGCTTTCCACATGAAGAGTAAAATAATGATTTTTTTTTTCAAACAACAACAACAACAACAAAAAAACAGTTAAAATACACGATATTTTATTATCTTTTCAAATTCTTTTTGAGAGTTTTAGTTGCAATGTTACAAACGTTTAAAACATGTATCTAAGTTCTTACTCGTCAGTTAACGTGTATACAAGAAAGGTAGGTAAATATTAAAGATTATTGATTTCAGATTCAGACATCCAAACATCTCTATCATAACATAAAATATTTCAATATTTTAACAACAACGTTCAAGACGCAAAAATAACATAATGAAATCTTATTTTCTCTATATGTATGGCCTCCCAGTGGTACAGCGGTATGTCTGCGGACTTACAACACTAGAAACCGGATTTCGATACTCGTGGTGGGCAGAGTACAGATAGAACATTGTGTAGCTTCGTGCTTATTTTCAAAACAAACAAACAAACAAGCTATATGTATGTTGTGCTGCCATCTGTGTCTTACTAAAAGATACTTAAGTTTTAATTTTAGGATATATAATTGGAATTTTTCATCTAAGCGGTACCTATAATACCTGTTGACAGATCGCAAGGATTTGAACTACTTGTTAAAAGGGAAGCAGCACCACCAATCGCAACAATGGGTTTGAACTGAATAATGGGGTTGACTGTCACTTTTTCGAGTATAACGTGCCCACAGAAATTATGGAGCGAATTCAGTGGCATCACGTCTCGAACCCGCATCATCCGATCAGCAACTGGACACCTAAAACTAGGCTTACTCAGCCATCTCAGGTAATGACATTTTCGAATTTTTATGCTCATAATGCTGTGAATTTTAAGTAAAACATAACATTGTAATTTTGGCAAAGATTTAAATAACCTAATCTGCTATTTAGAAATTTCCCCCTCAAATATTACTCTCTTTTTCTAAAAGCATGGCGTTGTTTTCTTTTTCTTATCGTTCACTACTCATGTCACTAAATTTAATTCACCTTTTCTTGTTAGATTCGATGATAATCACTAATAACTACCGATTAGAGTAAGCTACTTACTTAGAGCGACATTAAAAATCAATCTGGTAATGAGCATAGCTAGTTAAGTATACTTTTATTACGTTCTTAATTATAAAGATTATAATGCATTGTTTCATCGGTTGAATATTTTCACGGTTAACGATATTTTCGGTCGTAAACCCAATAATATCTCAGAAGGTTCGGGGAGATTTAGGTTAATTCTAAATATGTATATTAAGCGAACAATGCAAAACAATCTCCATAATAAAAGTTTAATAATGAAATTTACAAACGATAAAGTTAGATTTATTAAATGTTCTAACAAATACTGTTAATAATTGTAGCGTTAAAGAATTAATAGAGTTTTCCTTACTTACAGAACCCACGAACATCAGCTGTTGATTCAATATTTTTGTTACTATTTTCTAAACAACTTGTTAAGAATAGTTGTGTTAGATATCTGTAGGTACCTAACTACTATCTTTATTTAGCTTAGCCAAACCATTTTTAGTCACTATCGTATTATATTAGAACCCGCGAAAATAAATTCAAGGGGTACATCGGTTGTTTTTTTTTCTTTTCTTCACCAGGATATAAAATATAGTACATTGCTGTACTTGTCGACTTGTTTATATGCATATTCTTTACAAAATACAGAGGTTAAGAGCACTAGTTTTCGTAACCTGAGAGTCATAGCTGGTTTCATCTTTGAGATTCGGCAAAAAAAAATTAAGGCTATTTTTGATTTAAGTGTTTGCTGTGAGAGAGTACTTGTGTGCTTGATAGTTACTTCGAGTAGTGACAGAGTGTCTTGGTGCAGTTGCTAACGTGTTAATCGTTTAGCCAAGCTTGTTGTTTGTTTAGGATATTCATATAAAACTATACAAATCGTCCCTAGTTTTGAACCAATAGACTTGAATGAAGACAACCACTCAACATCACCCACCGCCAACTCTTAATCTCTTCTAATCGAATAGTGGGATTTGAGCGTCACATTTATAACGCACCTACGAACTTTTTACCCTCAGATGCATAGCCCTGGTCGCTAACCCGCTTGGCTACGCTCAGTCCAGCTAAGTTATTGAGAGGACTAGGTACTTTTGTGACTTGACAAGGTTATCGAATCAAAAGAATGGTTGTCATTGCTTAGGCATAAGATTACTACTGCAATAATAAACAGCATCAGTCATAAGCAAACAACGACTCTAACTGTACTGACATGCAACCAATAACCTTAATATTCAATGGTTTTTACTAAATATGAACAAAACAGTAATACAAAAATTCTTATAAGTGAACTTGACCTTTTTGGGATTGCACGGTATTTTAAAAGTTCACCTTCATTTCATAGTCAAATCGCTAATAGCCAACACTCAGTTGCAATAAAAACTATCTTTACGTTAAGTTGAACTTGGGGTTAATTTACTATCTACTTTTTACAAAGTTTAAAATTATTGGACGTTTTATTTGAAGACAAAACTTTCTAGTTTACTAGATACTCCACAACAAGATTATATGAAAAATGAAGTTTGGAGTTCAATTGTGTAATACAGGATTACTCGTAGATTTTAGATCACGTAAAATATGAATTACTGTTATTTCAAAGAAACTGAAGTTATATTTTAATCAGTCACTTAAAAAAAAATGGTAGCTAGAATTAGGTGCATGAAGAAACTTATTATCTTTAACAATGGTTTCACGTTATTTGGTTCACAACTGATTCTTCAGAAGAAATTGACTGTCAAGCTCAACAAATTAACGATCTACCAGTGGGAGTTACTCAACAAATCTTCAAATTGAACTTAATTCATTTTCGATCTTCAAGTGAGAAGGAAGAGAAAAACTTTAGTCATATTTTTGTACTTATTTGATTAACAAAAGACAAGCAAACACAAACACAACGGTTTTGATGAATAAATATCATCTCTGTCTTCTCATACGCCATCTCGGAACCCGTTATGTCATTAATCACAGTTTAAATGGGTTTCTCTAATGGACTTCATTTTACTTTTAAAAGCACGAGCTCATAAATAACTCCAGCCAAGGTTGCTGTACAGACTCATTGCTTACTCTTTTTTTTTCGCGTACACAGTCTAGAAAAAAATGCGATGGTAGGAATACTTCCATTCTAAATATTGAACCACGTGATCGAGTTAAGTTGCCATCCAGCACAATTACTAGACGGAGGTGTTTTATATTATCCTATAAATATTTTCGGAGGAGGCGGTTCAAATGTGCAGAAGGACAGATGAACTACGAAGAAAAAAGAAAAATGTATAAACATATATCTCCAAGAACATAATTAGAATTTGTGACTTGCTGCAGCATTTTTTGTTTTCAGTCTAAAACGATTTTGGCAAATTGCATCTCATTTCTTTTATCTTCCACTCCAAGTAATTACGAACGAAAAATTTAGTAATAACTTTAAAAAATGACACGAATAAAATCAACATTCCTGATGCAGCGTCTCCCCTGCTTGACATATAAAACATTAATCAGTATGAAAGCTAATATAGCACTGATAATGTCATGCATAATTTTAAGAGATACAGATATAACATTAACTTCATCTTGCATTTAATCCTTAATGTTCAATGAATTATAATTAGGGATGCTGATAAGGTGTTGTAGGGACTGTAATCACCGTTTACCATCTTATCTAAAGACCAGTATACATGTGTGTGTATACACGTTTTAAAGATCCTTTATAGCGAATATATTTTATGACTCACAAAATCAATATAATGACTATAAACTATGAGTCACAGAACCTTTTTAGGAACGTGGAAACATGAAAAAAGAACATATACAAAGACCTTAAATCATAAGTCAAAATTCACTTAAAAAGATTTTAATAACTCTATAGTATTGCTTGCAGAAACTATGAAATATCATTAAACCAAAAGTTCTAGTACATAAACCTCTTAAACCAGAGTTCCTAGTCAATGTTTTAAAACAATGACCAGATGAGGCCTAAAAATCGACGTAAAACCACAAATATAAGCACCTACACAGTTACTATAAACCATAATATACGGAGCTAGCTCAGTGACTTTAGATAATGACTTTCAGCACCTTACATAGAGACTTTAGGCAATCAACCGCAACACCTATAAATTGACTTTGCACTAGGACTCGCAGGACTTAATCAAGATATTAAATCCCGACTTATGAGACTTACATATAATTACTCTAGACCAACGGTTGCAGATTCTAACAAGTGACTTTAGATTATGACTTTCAAAACCTAAATAGGGTTTATATAGACAAATCTATACTATGATTTTAAACCATGGATCACAAACATTACTGAATATATTAAAGCAACATATAGAACCCACAAGGTAAATTATAAAACCTTTAAACAACAGCTTACATATTTGTCCCGTTACTTTAATCCACAACTCATTGAATATATTTAGTAACTTTGAATAGCGATTCGCAAAATTTTAATCATAATTTACATAACCTATCCATCGACTTTGGGCCATATATGGCAGAATATTAACACTGATAAACAGAAATTATAGTTCTGAACCATCATTATGTAAATAAATATGGTGTCTTGTATTTAAGAGTTCTGTTATCATTATAGTCAAGTTCAAATTGTTATGTTAGTGAAACTAATAACAGGAGTATTTGGCAAGAATTGTTATTGATTTAGAAGCAAATATAAAACGTCGCCAGTGTGACTAGACAGTGTTGAAATGGTAGATCTGTTTGGAAATACAGAACAAATGCTGAATTATGCAAGAGCAACTTATAACGTACTGAAATTAAAACATCAGGACGAAATTAATTCAAGGAAATTAATGCAAATATAATTTTAGAAGAAGAAAGATTTTCCAAATAGAATGAACAGAAAAAAAAACAACTAATGAACTATTTACAATATTTTAAGGAACGGTCAGTCTTTCAAATCTCGCTGTTGCTGTGGAAAAACTCCAGTGTTGGCACTGACTAGTTACCATCCGAGGAAATGCACAAAAGTTTTCCTCTTGTTTGATATAAATGTTGGTAAGGTCCTCTTAGATGGTTTGGGAATTTGTCCATTCATTTGGATAATTCTCTTCGACAGGATAACCCACCAATAACCAGATTGGTCTTTTCATAGTTGCAGTCACATTCGTCTGAGGTTGATACTTATGGGGTCTGCTGTCAGTAGATTGCTTGTCGTAAGGAAGCACCAGAACCACTGTTGGAATGCCACTGATCAGTTTATTCTTAATAAAGTAATTCAGCGGTTTCTCTACAGTGTCTTTTTTCCATTGGAGTCTCCAATAGGCTAACTGGACCATCTTAAAGTATTTCTAGTCAGATGAGCAGTTTGGAGAATTCATAGAAGCCCATACTGTCATCCAAGACTAGGATACTCCATGATGCCTACTACTTGAATGGTACTAGCCATTGCTCTCGATCAAGGATAAGGTCACTGCTATATATATATAATAGTGGAAACAGTGAAGGTATAAAGTTATACACCAATTCGTGTGCCATCCAGTTCAGAAGAAAGAATAATTCAATTTTTGGTCATTTTGGCCTTGATTAATTGACAGTACATTTGTAGCATCACTCTTTATGTAACGCTCTCACTGTAACTGACAGTTGTTACTATAGTCATATCAACACATTACTTCAATTTTGGCCTGCTCCTTGTTGTGTATCATAATAAGCCAAACTATCATTTTTAAAGGACAAAAGTTATAATACTTGCTACTACTGCTATACTTGAACTTTATTGACTGCTGCGGTAGTTGACAAGAACACTTATGCTAATAA